TAACTATTTTGACAAATAAGTGAAACTCTTGTTTATGTATACATAAGATTCAAAGATAATATAAAAAAATACAATGAAAAAAGTTTTTTTTTAAAAAAATGAGGGTATAATAATCTTTGCATACTCTCTCAATTTTATTTTTTTTTATTTGCATCACTTTAGATTGCACAAATTTTTAAGAAAGAAAGGGCATGTTCACATTTACTGAACCGAACTGAACTAATTGGAGATGAACTGAATTGATTGAAGCTAAACTGAATTGAACTAAGCTGAAATGAATATTTTATGCGAGAGAGATTAAGAACTGAATTGAAATTAAGTAAATGTGAACAGGCCCTAATAATCCCTACGTGTTTATTTTTTTATTTTTATTTTTTTTTGCATCACTTTCATTTTTAGGGCGTTTTTCATTTTTCATTTTTTTATTTTTATAATGCATCACTTCTATATTTAGTAACTTTATACTATATTTTATCATTTCCCTCTTTTACCTTAAACCTCACTCAACTTATTTTATCATTATTCTCTCTTTCATGGTTACCACTAAAATAATATAATTTCTCTTTCATGGTCCCTATCTTACTTTTATTATAATAATTTATTCACCCACTCACAATATTATATTATTCTCATAAAACTTTGTACAATATAAAGTGATGCAAATAAAAATTAATGTACAAAGTTTTATGCAAAAAATAAATAAAAATACGAAGTACTCCCTCTGTGTTTTATAGTAATATTGTTACAGTTTGATCAGCATATAGTTTTAGGCATTTTAATAGACTTAAATAAAATAAGAGGTAAATGAAGTAGTTGGGGTACTAAAAAAAATGTAAAAGAAATATAGTAGAATAATAGTTTATTGAAAAGTATTGAATGTGAGATGGAGTATGTAATAAATAAAATTGTAGTGAATTTATATAGGACAATTAAAACAGAAATGTATAATATTTAAAAGCAATTTTTTGTCAATTTAGAACATGGAGGGAGTAATAATCACGAATTATACTGTCTGAGGTTTCCTTTGTTTTAACCAAAAGTAACTTTTTGGGAGTACTAAAATCTTGTCCACAAACGCAATGAACGACATGGCGTTTGACACTTGACAGAAGAAACTTGAAATTTAAGTGCTGGGGAGAGGGGAGCAGACGTTCAGTGCAGCATAGGGAAGGAAAAATTATCTCTGCCAAAAGATTTATCTGCTGCTTATCTCTGCCAAAAGACGTTCAGTGGTTAAAATGCTTGTCAAACTACAGTAGTGTGATTTAATAAGGACACAATAAAGTAACTTTTGAATTTCAAAAGCACAAGTATACAATGGACAAGATAAATTAAGGCTGATTGTAATAGTAATGAAAAGGTACAAATTCAAATAAATGAAATTGTAAGAGTCTGATTTTGTTTATTTTCAGCTCAGCTCATTTCAGTTTAATTCAGCTCTTAATTTTTTTTTTTTTTTAAATTATTTATTTTAAATTCAGTTCGGTTCACTTTAGTTCAATTCAGTTCAATTCTGCTCAATTCAGTTTAATTCAATTCAGTTCAGTTCGGTTCAGCTGAATTCAGTCAATTTGATACTTTGTATTACTTATAGGATAATATAATATTTAAAAATTATACTTCGTTTTTTAATATGCATCATTTTGGATTGCACAAAATTTTAAGAGAGTAATATAATATTGTGAGTAGGTGAATAAATTATTATAGTAAAAAAAAACAAAAATCATGAAAGAGAGAGTATATGAGAGATGATAGATATTTTTAGTACCTCCGTTACATATTATTTGCAACGATTTGACATATACTAGAAAGAAAAAATGTTTAATCGTTGTTAATACTCTCTCCGTTTTTAAGTACTTGCTTCACTTTTCTTTTTCGGGCATTTTTAAATACTTGCTCCATTTCCTTATTTGAAAAGCTTTTACAATATTTAATTAATTTATCTCACTTAGTGGACCCAACATATATTCTCTTTTCTCAAATTCTCTCCACTACTTTTGCCCTTTACATTTTTTTTATTCTTCCACCAACCCCTCTACCTCCATATTTTATTACTTTATCCAATTTCTCCTAAAACCCCTCGCATGGAGAAATGGAGCAAGTATTTAAAAACGGAGGAAGTAATAAGTAACGGATGTAGTATTATTTTAGTGGGGGTCATGGAAGAAAGAGAGAAATGATAAAATAAGTTGAATGAAGTTTAAGTAAGAAAGAAAAATGATAAAATATAGTATAAAGTTACCAAATATAAAAGTGATCCATTTATAAATAAAAAAAAAACACTATTAAAAGAAAAATGATGCAAATTTAAAAAAAAAAAAAAAAAAAAAAAAGGAGGGAGTAACTAATATAAAAGGAAGGTAGTAATTATTTGGTTAATTTAAAAGTAAAAATGTAGCAAGTAGAAATTACTTAAATAAGGGTCTGTTCTCATTGATTGAACTGAACTGAACTGTTCTCATTGACTGAACTGAACTGAATTGAACTGAACTGAACTGAAATAAATATTTTATAAGAGAAGGAAATTAGGAGCTGAACTGAACTGAACTGAATTAAACTGAACTGAACTGAATTAAACTGAACTGAGCTGAACTGAACTGAATTGAACATAATTTCAACGTAAGAGAACAAACCCTAATTGAAATTTCTATAGAAGATATGAATCAATTTATCCCTTTCTTATACACAGAGTCATAGTCACTCAAAGTTTCCATAAATTTGGAGACACATAAAGTTAACCAAACAAAAAAATAGCTTAGTAATTTATTGGAAATACAATTTCCTTTACAATATGTCAATGTAACATGAATTTAATATTTCCTAGAAATTGCAATTTGCCAAGTTCTCATGTACTATTGTTTTAACTTTCTATGAGCAATTAATTATCATAAATTATACTCCCTCCGTTTTTGAAAGAACGACCCATTTAGTTTAATTTTAGTCCCAAAAAGAATGACCCATTAGCATTAAAATACCCACCAATTTGCAGCAATATTTGTGCAAAATTAGCTTTCCCATATAAAATTTTGTTTTTCCATATATTTTTATTACTATCTCTCTTTACTTTTTTGTAAATCTCGTGTAAATTTATCTTTCGAATATACTTTTACTTCTTTTATTTAACTTTATTAATACCCGCGAAATTAACCCAAAAGGGTCGTTTTTTCGGAAACGGAGGGAGTATACAACAAAACCGAACCTAAGTACTCCCTAATTCCTATGTATCGTTTATACTCCGTATGTGTTATTTCAATTTTCAATTTTAGTTGTTAAATTTTAACTACATTATTACCTGGAATGTTAATTTCACCTTGGAAAGAACAATTTTTCTGAATTTTTACTTAGATTATATTGAATATATTGAGTATGATTGAACATATACTACATTAAACCTGTAAAAGTGTAAGTATAACAACAGATAAGAGACATGAAGAGTACTTACGTTAGTTTTGAAACATAAAATAGAACTCATAGAAGTAAATGCACTAACGTGTTAAGAGTAAACATGTTTTAACAAATATATGTTCAAATGCGTGGCTCCTACAGTATATGCACGATCTGCATGGTGTATCCTTTAAAAAAAAAAAAACAGAAAAAATATTGTAGAAATGTAAAGAACATTTAGTTAAAATGAAAATAAGATGTTATAGAATTGTAAAGAACATTTTATAAAAATGTAAATAACATTCAGTTAAAGTGAAAAGAACATGTTATAAAATGTTAAATAATATTCTTTATCTTCATGTGCTTTGATTGTCAATATAATGTACTTTTATTTGTGATATAATATTAATTGTTTATTTTGAAATGTTCTTTGAATTTTGTCTTTAAATTACAGTGGTTGAATAAAAATAATGTTCATTACATTAAATTATATAAGTGATTAAAAATTCGGGTCGAGCCGAGCCTTAACATAATATCTCGTAGCCAAACCCAGAAAATATAGCGGGTTTTTCAGGCTATTTACAGGTGGAGTTTGGATTTTTAACTAAAGATGCATTTTTAGGCTTGTCCAAACCTGCCTTATTTCCGGGCTGGATCGAGCCGGGCTGAAGTTGACCACCTTTAATTATCATTTTTTTTATGAATATTACACATGTTTATATATATATATATATATATATATATATATATATATATATATATATATATATATATATATATATATATATATATATATATATAAAGAACATAAAATTTGATTTTTTTTTTTTTTTTTACAAAATAGCTATATGTTCTGTACAAAACAAATATATGTTTATTACAATACAACTATATGTAATGTTCTTTATAAAATAGCTAGATGTTCTTTATAAATAAATGTATGTTCTTTACTGAACAACTAAATATTCATTCCGCCTTTAAAAAAAAATGCAAAGAGCATTGTACATCCGCATCCATGGAAAAAATTCCATATATGTTCCAACTAAAAAAGAATACTTGGGTACTCCTTACTTCGTATTATCAATGAATACGTAGTATGAAACTATCAATGAGATCTTGACCTACTCGAATTTGTCAAAATTGAGGGTTAGTAGACAGTGTATAACTATATACTATGTCAAAGTTCTACCTTATCAGTTATCACCATTTACAATTGTAAGTCCTAATCATTAATAGGGTGTATCAAAAATGCAAAAGTCTATCTTCAAATAAAGCCACAAATTCAATTCCATAGTACATTTTCGATTTGTGATAATTACAATATTAGGGCATATTCTCATTGACTAAACTCAGCTAAATTGAACTGAATTGAGCTGAACTGAATATTTTATAAGAGAAGGAAATTAGGAGCTGAACTGAACTAAGCTAAACTGAATTTCAACGTATGAAAAAAAGGCCTTAGTCATATTAAACACTTAAGAAATTTAGAAATGGCATTTTGTTGCACCAAAAAAGAAAGTATATGTAGTTAATTAAAAATGGAATGGCATAATCTTTTGTCAAACATTTCAAGAATAAAATTTTAAAGTGAAATAATTTAACATTAGCAAGGCGAATATAAGAGAATACAAATAAAAAACCACTCTAATCCTTACATAATTCTGAATACAATAACACTAGTAATAATACTCCGTTTGAAACCTAAATAACTGACTAATAATTACGAAGTACTTAGTAGTAAAATACGGAGTACTACAATTTGAGTAACTACTCTGAAAATCTAGCCATGAAAATTACAGAGTAGCTTTTTCATACATCTTGATTCTTTTTGTGACATAGATCATAGAAGTACACATTAAGATTAGGTTAGTCTAGTAATATTTATTCCAGAACTGGTGAAACCAAACTCATCTTATAATTCCAAGCGTTAACAATAGGACAACCAACACTAGTTCCTCCTTGATATTGTCTATCAAATGGTTTGCTCGGATCAAGTAACGCAACCTCACCGCGGTTTAAAACCAACCATTTTCCGGTCTCGGAAACACACAACAATTTCATACCATCACGATTAAGATCATACAATTTCTTCCAAGAAACACCATCCGATTCCAACATCCAAACATGACTACCAAAACACCACGACAACCTCCCTTTTATCCCATATAACCTCAACCTATCCGAACCACCGCAACGCTTATACGCATCCATCATATCTTTATACATTATAGTAATTCTACTTAACTCTGAATTGACTAAATTCACCCCTACACAATGGCAAACCGAAGGCCAGTATAGAGTATCATTGACAAAAGCCGGGACATCAGCCGGGACAATCGAAGAGCCATCTATTTCATCAATAGACAATCTATCCCACCTGTTATTCCTTAATGAAAATATATAGATTGTATACAAATCAATGTCTTCTACAACAATTCCACCAGATAACCCCAGTAAATAAACAATCTTATAATCATCAATCGAAGAAACATAAGCAAATGCAGCAGTTATCACAACAATATGACCTCTAGGAGTTTGAGGACAATCAATAACATCACTACACTGTTTGGTGACAGGGTTGCAAATATAAAAGTTATAATGTTTGTCAAAAAAACATACCAAACCATTGCAACAACCCAGCACGTGAATAGGTCCACCGTTAAAGGTGAAGTTGAATTTAAAGGTCTCTTCGACACGGCCGTGTTCATCGAGTGTAATCGAGGTGAAAATAGGATGATTGTCGCTGTTCCCTGAGAACAGGAGGAATTGAGGGGATGGAGAGGTGAATAATTTGAGGTGGGTTTTTGCGAATTTTGGGTTAGAAATTGTGGAGAGCCATGATTTGGAGACAGATTTGAAGCGAGTTAAGGGTTTAACTGGAAGTCTTGGTAAGATGTGCTCGAAAATAAGATCGTCTGGAAGAGTTAGGGTTTGGGATTCTGAATCCTCAATCTCTTTCTCCATTTTTGAAAATGAAATTTTAATTGGAAGTTTGAGAATAAAATGTTTTAAAGTTTATGATACTAGAGTGGAGATGAAAACAGAGAATAAATAAGGGGAAAAAAAAAAAAAAAAAAAGGACAGAGAGACTTGTCTCAGAACTTCACAGGTCAACAACTTTTCGAAGTAGTCTAGTACTCTACTACTCTAGCACTGTTTAATAGTTCAGCACTTCAGCTAGTGAAAGTAAATTTTAAATGATTTCTAAAAAAAAAAAAAAAAAAAAAAAAAAAAATTAATTTTGAATGACATTTCGATTGTCCCACACTTAAGTACTTTGTTTATCAAACTCTAAAATATGGAGTAGTAAATACATCTATGAAAATGTTCAATTAAAATGACATTTTCACGATGAACAAATTTTGTTTACTCCGTATAACATGAAAATTGGAACCTTTTGTTAGGCATTATTTAGTTCACCTTATTTTCACTTATTTTAGAAAATTTAAGTTCAGATCACATCACAATAGAAAAAAAAAGTTTAAATCAGAAAAAATAAGTTCACACCAAATCATCGTTTTATGTGCAATTTTTATCGCTAAATATCTTTGATTTCGTAGTGAAAAAAAATTATGAAAATCACATATTAATAAAATACATATTATTATAAATTTAACAAGAATTCACTTAATATATTTTTTCCATATAAATTATCAATTTTTAAGGATTTTTTAGAAAATGACAACACAAAATAAACAAAAATTTGATTATAAATTTCAATCTTTTATTTTAACACCACAAAAAAACAAAAACCGTTACAGGGCACCACACTTTACACGTGTCAATTAACTATCTGATTTTTTTTATATAAAAAAAAAAAAAAAAAAAAACTCCTTACCCCATCCACCACCCTCATCATCGGCGCTGATTTTCCTTGCCTCCATCACCGTCACTCCAATCCCGGTTGTCGACTCCCCCAGACGACTACCCTGGACTGACAAAACCAGCTCTACTCCTCTGCCATAAGCCTCACTAACCCAGCCTCCTGCCATCACCGGTGAAACAACCTCACCCGAGCCCAGCCACCAAGCCCAACCGGCGCTTAAATCATTTCAGCCAGCCACGAAAAAAAAACCAGCCACCTTGAAACATCATAGTCTTGAATGCGCTAGCCCAACCACGACCCTAACGGCCAAAAGCCCGAAATCCACCAATTTTTTTCACCCTTTCACCCTCAAAATGGGTGAAATCGACCATGGAAACCCATAATGGTAAATTTTCATGGTCGATTTGATCGTTTTAAGGGTGAGGAAAGGGGGGTGGTTTTACGCCATGGTAGCCGGGGTAGGTGGGGAAGGGAGCGTTGGCAGTTGGGCTAAGGTTGTGCGTAGGCGCGTCTTGATTGGCTAGGGTGGAGCGCCGACGGATGGGGTAGGAGCGAAAAGGAGCACCGATGACTAGGGTTGGGATGCCGACAGTGGCAGTTATGGTGGTGGGGCTGGGTTTAATTTTGGGGTGTACCTTTGTGTCACACTGGCTTCAATACCATGTTAGAGGACCAACTCAATCAAAAGCTTAAACAGATGATTGAAGCTCAAAAATATGTTTTATACTCTATCAAATAGAAAATAGACAAAAAGAGTAAATAAGTTTTAAAATATAAACATATACAAAGTAACGTGTTAATACTACATAGTAAACATGTAGTTAAACAAAAGGATTAAACCATTAAGCTAATAACCTCAATAAAGAAAACTGAACTAGATAAGAAAGCAAAATGTTAACTATATACTCTTAATAACTTTAGCAAAAACTGATTAGAATCGGTACCTTAATGTCATACTCAACAGTGGCTTTACTGAAGAGGTGAGCCCTGAGTTTTTCAGTCCTAGTGAGAGCATTCTTCTTCTCCACCTCGACTTGCAATTTGGCTCCTCTAAAGGAAACAGCCTACTCTGCCTCAACTCCTGGCAACTGAGCCAACTTTGACCAACCGGCCTTCAGAGCAGCAAGCTCCGCATTTGCTTTTGCAACATCAGAAATGATCTTAGTCTCTGCATCAATTTTTGCTACATTATGCGCTGTTTCGCCTTCCCTTTGTTTGGTCCTACCCCCTTTTCATCTTGGCCTCTTTAACATCCACCTTAAGATATAAACACATACTAAAATCAGATTGATCGTATTTTCAAAAATTTAATAGCAAACTAACAATAAGTCTGTCTAATTAACATTCGGAGTATGTATTTTCTTGGCCTTAAACAAGATAGTATCATCAACATCAGAAAATTATTTGCTACACAACTAGATTAGACCCGTACGCTGACAGATTACAAAAATTATTGAAATGAAATAGCTTATTTGTATTATTTATTTTTGCGTATGTTCTTACAAATTAGATCATAAAAGATATCTATCATCATAAATTACATGAGTAACAAAATATAAAAATGAAAGTCAATCTAATCTAATCAAACCATATGCATACAAATTTAATTATATACCTCTGTATCTAAGAGTTCGAAATACAAAATAAAAATATGAGAAATTCCCTCTACTTTTTACTTCTAAGAGTTTGAATAGCATTTTCATGATGAACAAATTTTGTTTATAAATGTGAAAAACTGAGACTCCCTCTACTTTTTACTTCTCTGTTTCACAATAATCTTGACACTTTATGTTTACATGTGTTTTATAATAATTGTAATACATCCTTATTTAGTAAAGACATATTAATATTTTATTATTTCTTTCTCCTATTAAACTTACTTATATTACATTTTTTTAGCTGAATTGATTTGAACCAAAAATCAATTTAATCTAATCTAATGATTTTATTTTTCCTAATTTTAATTTCAATAATAATATGTGTTTACACTTGAAAATCGTAAAAAGTTAAAAAATCATAAAAATTTAAACACTAATTACACTTATTTACGCGTGTTTTTATCATAAATTTTTAATTTTATACAATTTCTAAGAGTGTATTTAATGCTTATATATAACCCTTACTCCCTTAGGGCTACATATAATATTATCTCTATTATTATTATTATTAGAAAAATGTTATATTTGCTACCGGCGAAACCACCTAGCTTCACATTTACTGCCGGTTTAATTTTTTATTTTATATTACCACCACACAAAATCACATAATTTTAATTTTGCTACCACTTAACACTTTTCGTTACAATTTCCGTTAGTGAGATCAACCACCCTTACTGCCACCTCTCTCTCCTCGAACACCCTCACTACCTCCCCGTTTGCCACCTTCGACCACCGTGATTTTTTTTAAACCCAGCAACCTCCCTACCCCCTGTCGGCCCCACCACCTTCCCTTATCCCCTCCTCGCTGCCGGCTGCCCCCCCACCTTCCCTTATCCCCTCCTCGCTGCCGGCTGCCCCCCACCCCCACCCTTAAACACCAGCTCGACACCACCCTTCCCCCACCCAAAACAACCACCCCCAACCCTTAAACACCAGCCCCAACATCACCCCAACCGAAATCGAGCCGGAAACGACCGATTTTCCCTTTCCCTAACCTGAATGAAGCCGAAAACAGCCGATTTCCCCCATCCCAACCTGAATCGAGCCGAAAACGAAATCCCAAATTCGTTTTGGGTGGTTTTGGGGTGGTTTAGGTTTAGGGAATGCCGAAAACGGTAGGGGAAGGGGAGGGGGTCGATTTCGGTAGGGGGAACGGGGCTGGGGGCAGATTTCGGTGGGAGGAAGGGGAAAGGGGTGGTTTTGGTTCGGGTGGGGGTCGGGGCAGCAAGTACGGGTGGGGGTTCGCCGGTTCGCATTGGCTGCGTTGGGGTGGGAGGAGGGTGGGTTCGCCGGTTCGCGTTGGCTGCGTAGGGTAGGGGGAAAGGAGGAGGGTGGGTTTGCCTATTCGCGTTGGCTGCGTAGGGGAGTGGAAAAGGAGGGGGGTGGGTTCGCCGGTCGTCGGCAGGGGGTGAGGGAAGGGGTGGCAGTGGAGGGGGGAAGGTGGTTTTTATTTTTTTTATTTATTATTATTTTTTTTAATAAACTTAACGGAAATCCTAACGGATTCCGTTAAGCGGTAGTGATTTTTAAAATGCTCTGATTTAGGTTGAACTTAAAGGGGTAACAAATGTAAATTAAGGTCCTTTCCCTGATAGCAAATGTGAAATTTTCCTTATTATTATTATTAGCTCAAAATACAATGGTCAAACAAATGCATTTACTTTATTCCTAAAATATTTAAAGTTCATAACAAAAGTTCTTCTACAAAATGACATCCACAAACAAAAAAACATAGCCAACCAACGATACATGTACAAGTGTACAACCTTTTTTTTAAAAAAAAGCTAAGGAGAACTTAAGGTGTTGTTTGGTTGATATGGTATTTTATTTCTCATAAGCAATTGCATTCTCATTGTAATTAAATTCCCACATTCAATTTCCCAGGAATTGCATAAATTTGTTTGGTTGCTATAAATGAAATTGTAATTCATGAAAATTTTGAATTACCAAGGGGGCCTTGGTAATTTATTCCCATGAATTTGCAATTCCTACATGTTTTACTTTTTATAGCCAACCAAACAACAAACCCCCAATTTCTAAATTCCCCATGATTTTTCAATTCCCCCGTTTTCTTTGTTCAACCAAACAAGGCCTAAATATACATAATACAATTCTTTCCAAAAAAAAATAAAAATGCAAACATAGAAACTGAAAGTACGGAGTGCAAGTAGTGTACAACTAAAACTGCCACTAGTTACTAGTCTACTACTCCTTACATAAGTTCTAATTTCCTAATTACAACACTAGTAAATAATAATAATACCGCCATTTGAAATCCAAAAACTAACTCATTGGTAAATCTAGCCGTGAAATTTTGCCTGAACCGATTACAATTAATACCCAATAAGATAGGATTACATTACATATGCTTGAAATCTTCAATTACATAATTACCGCAAAAACACAAAAAGATTAGGATCGTCTTGTCGCGCTTACTCAATTACGGGTGAAACCAGACTCATCTTGTAATCCCATGCTTTGTATACATGACCACCAAAATGAGTACCTCCTTGATATTGTCTATAAAAACTTTTACTCGGATCAAGTAACGCAGCCAGATTATCATTTGATACCAACCATTTTCCAGTCTCAGAAACACCCAACAAATGCATTTGATCGCGATTAAGATCATACATTTTCACCCAAGACAAATCATCTTTGTTCAACCTGTAAACTTTACGAACACAACACGATGACCTTGACCTAATATTGAAAATATCAAACCTCAAAACATTAGGATCATAAGAATCATAAAACACACACAATTGCCCTTTAATCCCAATTAACTCTATCCTTTTAAAAGGTTGAACCGAATTAAGCAATTCATCAGGAGGTGTTAAAGGAATTTTACTTATCTCAGCATTGACTAAATTAACCCAACAACATTCCCAAAGTTAATCGCACACCAGTACAGAACGTCATTGACCAAAACCGGCACAACATCTCGAGCAATTGCAACACCTTCTACATTATTTAATCCAGGAGTTGATCTTTCCCATTTCAAAGTAGTCAAAGAAAACATATAAACATCAAAATCAACCAACTCATTGACATGAAAATTGTTTTCATTGGATGTCTTTGTTAAACAAGCAATCTTGTAATCATCAATTGAAGAAACATAACCAAACCCAGCACCTATGATTTTTTGGTTAAGGCCGAAATCAGGACATTTAATAATACTACTACGTTGTTGAATAAGAGGGTTGCAAATAGAAAAGTTAAAATTTTTGTCACGAAAACATACCAAACCATTGCAACAACCCAAGAAATGAAAACTAGGACCACCGTTGAAGGTGTAGTTCAATTTAAGCGTCTCTTCGACACGGCCGTGTTGATCGAATGTAACCGAGGTGAAAAGAAAATCAGAGTCGCGGTTGCTCGATAAAAGGAGGAATTGAGGGGATGGAGAGGTGTATAATTTGAGGTGGGATTTTGCGAATTTTTGGGTGGAAATTGTAGAAAGCCATGATTTGGAAACGGATTTGAAGCGAGTGATAGATTTAATTGGAAGTCTTGGTAAGATATTCTCAAAGATTAGATCTTCTGGAATTGTTAGAGTTTGAAATTTTGGTTTTTGTGTATGTTCATCCATCTTTGGTAGGAAGTATTGGTGGTTGTATAAGAGAAAAAGTTGTTTGAGCTAAGAACACGGATTTAAAAATAAAAGAATTAAGCTTTTATTCAATAATAATAAAAAAAAGGATGTAATGATGTATGAAGTAAACAGAGTCCTTTACATATCAGTTGTCATTGTCAACATGTTAAAATCGTTTTCCTCTCTGTTCCACGTTAAATGTTGAGTACTCTTGCTAGAGTAGCTTGCTGCATACAGGCGGATAATAGGGAAAAAAAGAAAGTTTTAAAGATAGAGTGGTAAGACTCATTTGCACCCGGACTAGCCGTCTTTAAATGCTCCGTCCGTTTTTAAATACTTGCTCAATTTTTTTTCCCCACTGTTTTTAAATATTTGTTCAATTTTTTGTTCTGGTCGTTAAATATTTGCCCTATTTTCTTATTTGGAAAGCTTTTACTATACGAAATATTTAATTAATTTCTCTCACTTAGTGGACTCACCATAAATCATATTTAATTAAATTCATATTCTGTCTCCTCCAATTATTCTCTCTATCCCGCCTCATCATCCGTGGACCATGGCAGTATAAATTTTATCCCCATCCTTGACCCGCCAAGTGACTTGCCCAAAGACAACGGAATAGAAAAAAATTACGAAATCAATAGTCCCTTCGTTTTAAAATACTTGTTCCATTTCTCCATGCGCGGAGTTTTAGTAGAAATTAGATAAAGTAATGAAATACGGAGTATAGAGATAGTAGGATTAGTGTAACTGTGTAAGGTAAATCCGTAAATTGGGGGAGAGATAATCTAAAAGTAATAAAATTGAGTCCCACTAGTTAAAAGAAAGAATAAAATATTATAAAAGCTTTCAAAATAAACAAATGGAGCAAGTATTTAAAAACAGTTGTAAAAGAAAAGTGGTACAAGTGTTTAAAAATGAAGGGAGTAATTAATTGATTAAGTTTTTAAATTGACCATACTCAACCCTTACCTTACACACATATTTTGGAGTACTTCCCTCGTGTTTGAATATTATCAACCAAACAAAAATTAAAGTCAGTTCTTAGGAAATGGGCAAGAAATTACTTTTCATGAAATAAAAATAATTACATGTAACCCTAATATTACTATTTTGACAATTGAGGAATATCCCAATGATTGACCTCCAATTGGAAAGGATCTTAAAATCGAATCTCATTACTCATCCTTGTGTACAGATCAATGTAATTAATTAATACTTCGTATATTTCATTAATACCTTTCTCTATACATAGCCTTTTTTATATATATATATTCTTTGTTTCTCAACTGATGCTAAACCTGTGATACTAAATTACTTGTGCTTCAGCAAGTTATATTAGATGCTAATTATTCTACTTTGCTAACCCTATGGCAATGAGAATCATAATTCAAACTGAAGTAGCCAAAGCCAAGGTGTTGAATGTTGAGCATTTGGGTACAAAAGCAGCCAAAGAGAGCATTTATCAGCAATGTTGCTAACATTTTTCACATTGCAATTTGCAAAGCAGTTTTACTCCATTATACAAACTCACATAGTTATGTAGCTGGTACTAGTTTGCAATTAAATTACACGCAAAAGACAAACATCAATAGATCAAAGTACGAGTACTACTAATATTAACCAATCTATTTTATACTTAAAAAAGACTACATAAAACACACTAGTAGAGATTCTTCACTCTGCCCATTCTCTTCAACTTTAACTTAAACTCTTAGAAGGCACGAAGATATCAAGTGCACAGGCCATTTAGCATGATAGACGATCTTTTCACTTCCCCATAGCTGCAAAGCACGGAGAAATCAAGTCAGACAGGCTGCTTAGCATGAAAGGCAATCATCTCAGTTTCTAGTAGCTGCTATATGTAAAATATGTTAACTGATTTTGTAAATATATTTATGCATGCAGGTTTATATGATAACAAGTTTCGAGTTTCTATATTGCTGCTTACAAATGATGAGTGAGTTTTCTTTCCCAAAGAAGATAGCCTGCATGTATCATACATATGAAATCTAACATCACTCTCTGGTTCAATTTAGCACACTCAGTCACATAGCTAAAGAATCAAGAGTTAAGACACATTAGGATTGGCTTATACCAAAGTACCCAAACAACTTATATAAGAAACTTATAATTACTTCTATTTTAAAAGGAAATTTTGTCAACAACTACCAATTATAGCCTCTGTTTTGAAAACAACTACCTTTTAATTTTTTTTTTTTAAACAACTACCACAAAAATTTTAAAAGTTAGAGTAGCACTACCACATTAGTATTTTCGGCTAGAATCTCCGGTGATAGGGGTCCACTTTTCACCTATATAAACACTTATATAGAGAGGAGAGAGAAACTCATATTGGAGGAAAAGGTGAAAAGTGGGTCCCTATTACCGGAAATACTAATGTGGTAGTCCTACTCTAACTTTTAAAATTTTTGTGGTAGTTGTTTTAAAAAAAAAAATTTAAAAGGTAGTTGTTTTCAAAACAGAGACTATAATTGGAGGTTGTTGACAAAATTTCCATTTTAAAATCCTTATGAAATGTCCAATACTCCAATACACCGAGCATAAAATAGAAAACTGTACATATATGAAGGAAAGGAGAAGCCGAGAAGGTAGAAATCTGAAGGTTTCAAACAAACAGCAAGTCATCCCAGAGGAAAAACTATAGAATGTATATCTTGGCCACCTAACTGAAAAATTATTAAGGGCCTGGAATGCCACTTTAGAGCTACTTTACTTCAGTCATTATGGGAGTTCATTCCATATAATCTATAACGATTGTTCCTTGTAGATCGTCATCCAAAAGTATTGCCAAGAAAGGACAATAACATTTGAAAGAATGTGTTCTTGATGTTAACATCCCCTCATAGTCTCATGTCCTATTAACACAAGATAATACCATAAAAGAAATGTTTATGGAAATCTTAAAGCTTGGGACTGTTCAGAGAAAATTGCTGCCAGAGTTACTAGAAAAAAGTGGCATCCAAAGGTGTAACAAGTCTTACATATAGAGAGTTTAATTTGTGGTTAAAGCTTTCTACAAAGTAAAGCTAGGTTACCTAAACAGATGCGAGAGAGCTCAATAGTCAATTACATATGACAGGGGAGTTTTAAACAATGGATCACCTGTTTTCATACTAGTTTTCCCAGATAATTCAAACAAAATGCTTGCAAATAAAATCAAAGAGGGAGAACTACAAACCATATAAATGATATAATGGTATCTAGAATGATTACAATGAGAAATATGGAGCTTTCAATCTGAAATTTTTTGCTCTTGCAGAAGGTGTCTATTATGAAGTAATATAGTAGTATAAATTGTAGAAATAATAACCCTCTAATTTATTCTAATGGAGCTGTAAGATATCGAGCAAAATTGTCAATGTACATGTTCTTAAAATGAGCTTATGGAAGATTGAACCATGAATTTCAGATCTTGAGCCAAAACTCTCTGCTTAGGATGCCCAAGACTCCTAGGATTAAAGAATGGGGAGACAACTAATATTTGACAAGAGCTTACCACATGAAACATCTAGACTGTATAACTTTTTCTTGTCTAACGGACATGCTTTTGCCCGTTACCCATCTCAACATAAAAGCATAAATCATAACTAAGGTTACTAACACTAACAGTGTCAATAACACAAATAAAGCTATAGTCCTAATGTTCAAACAAAATAATTGTGGATGAACATCAATCATCAAGCAAAGGAAATTCAATAAAAAGCAACTAAGCAAATATAAAAGTCCAATGACATTCAGCAGCATGATTTATAATTGGAGTAATATTAACCAGAACATTACCAAAATGAGAGCATTTCTTGTCTTGGCTTTAGAAAGGCGAAAATAAGCTTTCAATATAACCTTTTGAGTGAACTATGTGATCACCATTATCGAAAGCAATACCCCCTAGAGCCATTTGTGGTGTCTCCCGACTTGGATCGAATACTTTGAGTTCCTTCTTAGTATGAAGCAAACACTTGCCACTCTCAGAAAAACAATAGTATATGACACCAGTAAGATTGATAGTGAACATTTTCTGCCAAGAATCCCCATCACTAGAGTGCTTCAACATCCAAACATCATCTTTAGCAAATTCAGGTGTTGTACAAAGCAACGACAAACACCCTTTCAACTCCATTAACCGGATTCTCTTCAAATTTATAATCTTCTCCTGCCACTCATACTTATCCAACCAATCCATCGACGGCAACTCCTTAAATTGTTTTGTAATCAAATCAATCCCAACAACAGGGTTGTGGTTGTGGTTGTGGTTGTGATTGCCTCCCTCCAAACAAAAATTTCCAATGAACATGTAAAAAGTACAATGAATCAACACTACCAAGTCTAACTCACCACGTGCAAAGCAATCTTTAATAGTATGTGGGAAATAACACAAAAAAAGATCAAATGATACCATATTTTTGTCTAATTTACCAATTCTTTCCCAATTTCCAGCATTCATAGAATAAACATGAATATGAACGTAAAAACGAGATACGAACAAACCGAGAATTTTATAGTCATCAGTTGAGGATTCATGATAGAACAAGCACCTTGACCTGGACCATATACCCTGTTTTACACCTTCAGGGACCATGATCTTTCGATGGCGGCGAGTAGCCGGGTTACCTATAACAAAAGCGTCACGATCTCCTACTTCTTGGACATATAAACAAACAAGTCCATTACAAGAACCCACAATATAGAAGAATTCAACTTGATTGTACCAATTTTCAAATTGCAATTCATCCAAGTATCTAATCTTGTAATTGTTATTATCATCATAGTCTAACAAGTAAAATTCATCTTCCGTTGCACGATTACGCCCAGCAAGTACGATAAATTTAGGGTGGGAAGAGGAGAATTGGAGGTGGGATTTAGCAAATTCAGGGGAAGAAATAGTGAAAAGCCATAATTTGGAAACAGATTTAAAGCGAAGTAAGGATTTTACCGGGAGTCTTGGAAGGATTTCTTCCAAAATGAGATGGTTTGGAAGAGTATTATTGTTGATGCTTCTCATTTTGGCTACCGTGTTCAGGCAGTGGAGGTGAGCAGTATTAGAGGCGACTATGATTTAAGAACAAGGGTTGGGGACTTGGGTTGGGGCTTAGGGCTATTATAATTGGAAACTAATAGGCCATGTTCAATTCACGATAAAAAATAATCCGATCTAAATTACTCGCAACTTTGGAGTATTATTTGTGAAATATAAAATATTTCAAAGTTGCGAGTAATTTGGACCGAAGGTAGTATTTTTATTTGCATTACTAGTAAATACACAGAGTTTTAGGAGAATGATTTAATAATGTCCGTGAATGAATAATTTATTAGGGTAAACGTAACGTGGGGATTATGATAGTAGAGGTAATTATTAAACGGGTCGGGTCGAATTTGTGTTGGGTCAGAATCGAAAAACCAGTCCACTTCTTGGGTCGGGCCAAGCTTGGGCCAGATTTTTGGTGCCCAAACTCGACCAAAATGGCTGGGTTGTGTGGGTTTTCGGGCCATTTTTGGGTCATGCAAAAAAATTAACTAAAAATGCAATCGCAAAGCCGCCAAAAAAAAAAAAAAAAGGGTCGGATCATGCTAACTTTGATCACCTCTACATGAAAGTGAAATTATATGAGAGAGTAGTGGAGACCATGAGAGAGAGAAATGATGAATTAATTTGAGTGGGGGTTTAAAGTACCTTGTTGACTTCACCTTAAAAAAATAATATATTCAGTAAAAATAATTTCAATTTAGTAAAATTAATTTCAGTTCAGTTAAACTAAGTCATTTTAGCAAAAATAGTTTTAGTTCAGTAAAAATAATTTCATTTCACTAAAAATCAGTAAACCTAACGAAGAAATATAATAGAAAATCATTTAAAATAATTTCAGTTCAGCAAAATTAATTTAAGTTCAGCAAAATTAATTTAAGTTCAGCAAAAAATAATTTAAGTTCAGTAAAATAATTGCAGTTCGACAAAAATAAGGTGAAGTAAACAATAACTAAGAGAGAAATAATAAAATATAATACTCTGTATAAAGCTACTATATATAGCAGTGATGCAAATAAAAAAAACACCCTTAAAAGGAAAGTGATGTAATTAAAAAACAAAAGGAGTAAAATTCAATTAAAATAATTTAAGTTCAGTAAAAATAAGTTCAGTTTATTAAAAATAAATTTAGTTCAGTAAAAATTAGTAACTCTACAGAAGAAATATAGTAGAGAATCAGTAAATAAAAAATAATTTTAGTTCAGCAAAATTTATTTCAATTTAATAAAAATAATTTAAGTTCAGCAAAAATAATTTTAATTCAACAAAAATAAGGTGAGGTGAATGCGGCCTAAGAGCGTGTAATTTATTGTGGCTTATTGTCTTTTGGAGTGACTTAAATGGGGACGGAAAAATCAAGAACCAAAATTTTAAGTTCTTTTAGATTTTTTTTTTGAATGGTCGTTTAGAAGTTAAAAGAACTTAAACAACCCCTTTATATCCGTAATTTTTTTTTGAAAAAAAAAAAACCTTTTGTAAACAAACTGATGCATAAGGTCAATACTTGCATTTTGTAATTGATTTAGGATAAAGTTTAAGGGGAATTTTTCTGTGTGCCTGACCACACTATGTGGCAAGGATTGCTTATATGGGTTACTCGTTTGGTCAGGATTAGTTATATGTATAATTTATCACTGGTCAAACAAGTAACCTTGACCAAACGAGTAACCTATATAAGTAACCTCTAGCCAAACAAGTAACCCTTATAACCTCTAACAAAAAATGAGTAATCCCCTACAAGTAATCTCGATTCTGACAAAAACGAGTAAGCCTCTACAAGTAACTCCTGGCCAAACGAGTAACCCAAAAAAACAGTGACGGAGCCAGAATTTTTCACCTACGGGGACAGACTAAAGGTGGCGTACATTCTATAAATGGACAAAACTTTTAAACATACAAGAAATTGTAGGGACTACGCTTAATACTTATAAGTTTTACAACCTGAAAATCCAAATTTCTTAGTTATACAGTCCAAAAATTGAAAAAAAAAACATATTTATAATTACAACTTCACCTTCAAATATTCAATTTTTTTTTTTAAAAAAAGTGATATACAATCAAAACTATCAAATAATTCATAAATGTGATTTCTGATTCACGATAGTTCTAACAAATAAACAATTTCTTATTCAAATTTGGTCAATAGTGGATCCATAGGTTCAAAGTTTTTAAACCCGTGACAATTTAATTTATATCGAGATATATAAGAAAACCAAACACCTTTACCCGAAATTCCTACTATAACCAATAATTTGGGGCTGTAATGTATGCATTTATAAAAAGAAAATTATGTAAATTACTATGGTAATTTAAAAGTTAGAACATGATGTCATTAAGTAGTACTATGTATTACTTCTACTTGAATGTGTGAAATAAAGAAACATGCAAGAAAAGAGGAAAACTTTAAAATAAAAATAAGAAGAAAAAATTGGTGTTCAAAGGGATTGAACCCATGACCATGGAGACTAATAGTAAGCCCTGAAACCATTGAACCAAACCCTTTTTCTTATTTTTTATGCTGCACATAATTAATTTTAACTATTTTTTTATTGAAGTGGGGGGACAGTTGTCCCCCCTTGTACCCCCCTCCCTCCGCCACTGCAAAAAAAATTAGACTAAATCGCACTTTGTACATTCCTAATCTCACTTAACTTTATATCATCGTAGTTATAAGTTACAAAAGCTAGTTAAAGTGTAATTTGTGAATAGTGTAATGTAAAAGATAATTTTATCAAATTACCCTTTTTAATTATGTACTTATACAACTTTCATCATCCTTTTCTCAAATTCCGTGATTTAAAAAATTAGTCGAGTAGATAATTTGAAGAGAGAGAGATATATGGTAAAATTTTACTCCGTACGTAGGGCATGTTCTGATTTATTGAACTAAATTGATTGAAGTTGAATTGAACTTAACTAAATTAAGCTAAGCTAAACTAAATTGTTTATAAAAGAAAGAAAATTAAGAAGATGAACTAAATTGTTTACCGGCCATAATATCTCTAATCTCTTTTTTCCAATTATCTCCAAATTTCTTTTTTTCATATCACCTATATCTCTGTTTACAAGTCATTGTGCAACAGCGGGAGCAAACCAACTGTAAAACCTGTTGGCAGTAGTGACTAGTGACTAGTGACAAATGACTGACATGTGACATTTAAATTTCTTTACTTACTGCATACACTTAAAATCTCTTTACCTTTTCTGGGACTGATTTTTAAATTTGTTTTTTTTTTTTATTAAAAGTAATGAAAGCTTCAAAAATTTTACCCTTGTTATTAGCTCAAAATCTCAAATAAACAAAGCTCCCTATCACTTTCTCAATTCTCACACTCTCAGTCTCTCTCTTTGCATCAATGGAGAGAGAAACACAAAAACCAGATTCTCAAACTCCAACTCTTCCAGACGATCTCATCTTCGAGCACATCTTACCCGAACTTCCCCTAAAATCTCTAACTCGTTTCAAATCTGTTTCCAAATTATGGCTTTCTACAATTTCTAGTCCAAAATTTACAAAATCCCAATTTCTCCTATTTTCAGGGAACCACGGTCCTCATCCTCTCTTCACCTCGGTCACACTCGATCAACACGGCGGTGTCGATCAAATCCTTAAATTCAACTACAATTGCAACGGTAAACGTATTCATGTGTTGGGTTCTTGTAACGGTTTGGTATGTTTCTGTGACGAATATTTTAATTTCTACATTTGCAACCCTTTTACAGAAAACTGTAATGATGTTATTAATCGTCCTGAAAATGCCCCTGATTTTACTCCTAACAAAGTCATATCTGCTGGATTTGGTTATGTTTCTTCAATTGATGATTACAAGATTGTTTGCTTAATTGGAAAATCAACTAGATACTTTTCTCTTGCCTTGTCTAATGTTTACATATTTTCTTTGAGCAATTGGAAATGGGAAAGAGCATTGTCTAGATTAAATGTACATGGCATTGAAATTGATCCGGTCGACCGTGTGCCGGTTTTGGTGAATGATGCTCTTTACTGGTATGCATCAAACATAAATCATATTGTTGAGATGAATTTAATCAATGCAGAAATTAGATCATTTCCTTTGACGACTGCGGATATGCTTAACTCGCTTCGACCAGATAAATGGGTGAGATTGTATTGGATAAAAGGGAGGTTGTGCTGGCGTTGTGGTCGGGAAGTTTGGAGTTTGAACAAAGATGATATGTCTTGGATGAAAATGTATGATCTCAATTTTACAGGAATGCGGTTGTTGTGTGTTTCAGAGGCCGGAAAATGGTTGGTTTTAAACCACAAGTTTCTTGCTTTGCTTGATTCTAGTAAAAGTTTTTATAGACAATATCAAGGAGGTACTAGTTTTGATGGTCCTATATTTAGCGCATGGGATTATAAGATGACTTCTGTTTCACCTTTTCTTGAGTAAGTGTGACAATCGTGTTCAGGCAACATTTCACGGTAGATAAACCGATGAATTGGTCTATGAATTGTAGTATTTGGTATTTTTTGGAGTTTCAAATGGAGTATTAGTACTCTGTACTAGTCTTATTGTGTTTTGAAAAAAAATATCTGATGCAAGGATTATGGGTTGTTAAATATATGTTTCCTATTATCCGGTTTATGTATAATTAAGAAGATATTTACCTTCCCAATGTTGTGATATTTTACTTTGAATCTTGCATAGTTGCATTTTACCGTGTTTTTACTTCTACTCCGTAATTGACTCCAATACCAAATCCTCATAAATTCTAGTTTTTTACGGAGTATTTAATTTAATTTTTTTAGTTGTTTTTATTTTTAGAAAACACCAAGTACCACTTTGAAACACCGCCTTTTTTAAAAAGACACCACCTTTTAAAATGCTATAGCTAAAGCACCTTATTAATTTGAAAGTTTAATGCAGATATGAAACCGTTAAATCTCTCACAAAGTAACAAACAAGTGAAACACTGATTCACCATAACTTAGGAAATTCAAAACATTTTCAATAAAAAATGTGAATATGCGGATTTTATTATTTAAAGTGCCTAATTAACAGCCAATTCTAATTAGGTTTTTGATTAGGGGATAATATTTATTATCACATCAAGCTAAGGTATATTATCACATCAAGCTAAGGTATAAATTTTGGGGTTTAAACTTGGGCTTAATTAATAAAAATCACACATCATCCATTATTTATATGTGAATTCTAACTAAGGGCCTTTTCTTATTTATTGAACCGAGTTGAACTGAATTGATTGGAGGTTAACCGAACTGAACTGAATATTTTATGAGAGAGGGAAATTAGGAGATCACTTGAACTGAGCCGAACTGAATTGATTGGAGCTGAACTGAACCGGACTGAAATGAACTGAACTGAAATTAAGTAAGTGTGAACAAGCCTTAAATTGCTTATTAATTTTACACTCATTGCATGTAATTCTCTCCAAGTATGTTTTTACATGTCAAACATATATTAATTTAACCACTTAGGGCTTGTTGTCTTCCCCTTATAAAAATAAGTTTTGCAAAACTTTAATTCTTACACTATTCTTATACATTAGTAACGTTGTTTATTTATTGATACATTTTTTTACTAATTTATTTATAACAAAAGTTATCAATTAAGGGGATTTTTTTTTTAAAAAAATTAAATATATCACAATAGAAACAAAACCATCCCATGGATATAGAGGTTTAAGATTGAAATTTCAATCATTATTCTGTCTTTAAAGTCATAATATTCAGATGAAATCTAATATAGTTTGATTGCATCATTAACCTCACCACCATGCTCAAAGGCGCCTATTCACGAGACTTTTATGAATCCGGGATGCAAAATCAATGGGTGCCGGAGCTACTTCCAATTGCTCGGGATACCCATCCAAAAAGCAAAAAACGATGTATGCTGTTACAAATTCCTAAGCTATCTTAACAAAATCTTTCATACTCCTCATTTTTTTTATTACAAGCATTTAAAAATCTTCACCACTATTCGATATAGTGGCGATTTCAGTATGGATAAATCCTGAAATTTCTGACTAGATTTCTCTAATATAAAATTTGTATAAATAAAATAAATTTCTTATAAATTCGTTGAACTTCGCATGCGGCCTAGCAGTAAGAAACCTACTGATCAAATGAAAAGTCGCGGGCTCGACGCTGCATGACTTTTTTATTTGTAATTTTTGTCTCTCTATATTGTTTCTTCCTTATTTGGCTTTTACTTTGTTCTTTTTTTTTTTCAATTCTAATCAATGATCCGCCTTAAAATTAAATGAACCTCCAATACCTCAAATCGACACGTATTGTGCATACCCGATTTATCAATTTAAATTTTATTTTTAATTATGATACTAGATATCATTGTATACGTTTGAAAATTCCGAACTCATAAGAGCAAATTCATGGAATCGCCACTTGATGACAAATCAAATAATAAAGACACAAACTTTGAAGAATAGTAGCAAAGTTTCCCTGTCATTCAGGATCATTTTCATTTCATGATTTTTGTGTGTCAATTTCTCTATGACTGCTGCAACATTCTCTCTGCCTTATATATGACAGCTACCAAATTAACCTAGGGAATTGGCTCACAAGCTACCACTAGGAAGATTACAGCTCACCACACTCTAGGACAAAAAACTAAAGGAATAAAAACAGAACAGACAGATTACAATGACAACAACATATGGAAATACTACTGCCCTATTACTGCATACTATTGTTCTCTATTTCATCACCCCCCTCAAGCTGAGAGTGAGGAGTGAGACTGAACTCCAAGCTTGGTCATGAGCTGATTCATTTGTTCAATAGACAGGATTTTTGTGAATATGTCTGCAATTTGTTGAGAGCTGTGAATGTAGGTAGGCGCAATAACTCCTTCACTTGACTTGTCTCTAATGAAGTGATAGTCAATATCAACATGCTTTGTTTTCTCATGATGCACAGGGTTAGCTGCTATAGCTAAAGCAGCTTGATTGTCACAATACACTGATGTTGTTCCCAGTTTTGTCATTCCCAGATCTTTCAGTAATTGCTTCACCCACATTACTTCACACACGTTAGTGCCATGGATCTTGTCTCAGCTTCTGCTGTGCTTCTTGCAACCACTGATTGTCTCTTTGATTTCCAAGAGATAGGGGATTTGCCAAGTAAAATACAAAGCCCTGATGTTGATCTTCTAGTGCTCTAGCAACCTGCCCAATCACTATCACAGTAAGCTTTTAATTCAGCACTTCCCTTGGAAGCAAGAAGAATCCCTTGCTGTGTTGACCCTGACAAGTATCTGAGCACTCTTTTTGCACACTGCAAGTGAATGTCAGTTGGTTTGTGCATGAATTTGCTCAGCACATGAACTGTGAAAGAAATGGCAGGCCTTGTTATTGTGAGATAAATTAGCTTTCCCACTAGCTTTTGATATGACTCAGGATCTTTAAGGATGTTTCCACCTTCAGCTGTTAATTTTAGATGAGGATCCATAGGAAGCTTGAGAGGCCTCACATTGACCATATCATACTCTTCCAAGATATCAGCTACATACTTTCTCTGGGATAAAAACATTCCTTGTTCACTTCTGTCAACTTCAATTCCAAGGAAGTACCTCAGCTCACCCATGTCTTTCATACGAAACTGAGATGCAAGAAATACTTTTGTTTCAACAATTGCTTCCATGTCATTGCCTGCAACAATGAGATCATCAACATATACAAGTACAACTGTAAAGCTTTCTCCTTTTTTCTTCAAGAACAATGAGTGGTCAGACTTTGATTGAGTGAACATATTGCTCTGTGAAGCACCACTTAGCCTTGCAAACCATTGCCTTGGAGCTTGCTTGAGACCATATAAGGCTTTCTTCAACTTGCATACTTTATTAGTCTTCAAATCAGATGGCTCCCCCTCTCCTTGAACTTCAATTCTGCTTCCAATTCCAGTGTATCCTTGTGGAAGCTTCATATACACATCTTCCTGCAATTCACCATGCAAAAAAGCATTTTTAACATCCATCTGATGCACAATCCATTCTTCAAGTGCAGCTACAGCAAGAAGTGACCTCACAGTGGTCATTTTTGCTACAGGAGCAAAAGTTTGATCATAATCCACACCATAAATCTGTTTATTTCCTAGTACAACAAGTCTTGATTTATCTCTTTCTTTTTCTCCATTAGGTTTGTATTTAGTTTTGTACAACCACTTACAACCTATTGCCTTTTTTCCTAAAGGCAGATCAGTTACATCCCAAGTGTCATTATTTTCTAGGGCTTCCAATTCTTCATTCACTGCTTGCACCCACTCACTTCTTCTTACAGCTTGTTTAAATGACTTAGGTTCAGTAACTTTTGTAACTTTTGACATAAAGACAAAGAATGCATTGCTAAGAGGAATATCAGCAGCAATCTCTATCTTTTCTGGTGCAGATTTCACACAGCAGTTTGATCTGGTTCTTCCAATCACATAATCTTTGTGCCAATGTGGTGACACATGATCTCTAGAGCTTTTTCTCACTGGCTCTGCTTCACTTCTTAGAGTGTGTTCAGTTTGATCAGGTTGATTAACATTTTGTTCCATTTCCTCTGACTCACATGGTTCGATTTCTTCATCAATTTCAACTGTTTCTACTTCATTCTCTTCTATTCCTCTATTGTTTATATTTATCCCAGTATTATTTACAATTTCAGACTGAGTTTTACTGTTAGAACAGAACAATTTGTATGGACAGATTGACTCATAAAACTTCACATCCCTGCTTACAAAATTTTTGTTTTCAGCTAGGTATAATAGTCTATAACCTTTTGACTCAGGGGATAACCTAAAAACATGCAAGGAACACCTTTCAGACTGAATTTATCTACATTTCTATTTGGATTGCTTGCCATAGCCAAGCATCTAAAGACCCTCATATGATCATAAACTGGTTTAGTGTTAGTGAGTACCTCATAAGGACTCTTGTTGCTCAAGAGTTGAGTGGGAAGCCTGTTGATTATGTATACTGCTGCCTGCACACTATCTCCCCAGTACTGCAAGGGAACTCCAGCTTGAAGTCTGAGAGCTCTAGCCATTTCTAGAATATTCCTGTGCTTCCTTTAAGCTCTTCCATTCTGCTGTGGCCTGTCCACACAGCTTGTCTGGTGAATAATTCCTTTTTTGCAAAAAAACTCCCTGCAGCTTGTATCATCAAATTCTAATGCATTGTCAGATCTCACAATCTTCACCTCCTTTCCATACTGAGTCTTTCCCATACACAGAAATTCTTTCAATGCATTGAAGGCTTGAGATTTTTTTTTCAGCAGTTTCACCCATGTGACTCTTGAGTGATCATCTACAATGGTGAGGAAGTATCTCTGACTGTATCTGGTAGGAACTCTAAATGATCCCCATATGTCTATGTGTATCAACTCAAATGCATGCTTTGCTCTTGAGTTGCTTAAAGTATATGGCAGTTTTGTGAACTTAGCAGCAGGACATATTATGCAGATGCCCTCACATTTGTTATCAACTCCTCTCAGCTCTTCTATTTTCTTGATTTTGGTCATTGGAGCATGACCTAGCCTTTGATGCCACAGTGTTGGAATGCTCATCTTACTCACATTCTTTACAGTGCCTGGGATGGTGACAGCTGAACTTGTATTCAGAGCAACTTTCATCTTGCAACTTTCTCTCTTCATTTCAGCAAGTTTCTTTCCTACACTCTGCATTGACTCATTAATTAGATAATACAGTCCATTTTATGCTTTCCCTATTCCTCTTATCACTCCACTCTTCTTGTCTTGAATTACACAGTAGCTTGCATGAAAGTTCACTTTGCACTTTTCATTTTGCACTAACTTTTGCACAGACATCAAGTTGTGTTTGAAGACTGGGACATAGAGAA